AGACTTACAAAGACCTATAAAAAAGTTTACAAACTATCAACAGTGCTAAGCTATTATACGACAAATGGTTGGAAATTCCAAGACGACAACGTTCTTAAGATTTATAATAATATGTCGAAAAACGACCAAGAAGTTTTCAACTGCGATATGGCGACCGTAGACTTTAGGCAACTGGTCGTGATTTGGGTTTTCGGCATTCGCAAGTATATAATCAAAGACGATCTTTTAGGTACAGAGCAGGCGATTAAAAGACAATTCTGGTTAAAAATAATAATGTTCGGTATATTGTGTCTATATCTTTATATATTTTACAAAATATTAATTATGATTTGTGAAACGATTGTTGGATGTTCTGTGTAGAGTATTTTAATGCACTTAGAAGATATGTATTGTAAAATTGTATTTATTTGATGTCTACAACGATGTTTTTTTTTTTCAGTTTAATAACATATTTTTTATATTTATATTTTTTCAGTTTAACAATATTTTTTTCTATCCTGCACGGAACCAGTATTTGTATGGCCTACAAATAATTGTTCCAGGTCTAGATGTTCGTCCTTGTACAATTTGTGTTTGTTAACTGTTTCCACGATACAGGAGAAAATCTTAGTGTGGGGGGTAACGTTTTTTCAAAAAAAAAAAAACAAAAATATAGTTTTATATTTAGAAATTTATAATGAATAAATTGTGAAGAAATTTTTAATCATTTTTGTTTCATTTTTTAAGTATGTGGAGCTGGCTAGTTCCATGTTGGTGTAAAATTTGTTTAGGTTCCTCGTACTCGAAAACTACCGAGGCGCAACATGTCATCACTAATTTTATACCTAAAAGTAAAAAACTCGTATTGATTACTTTTATTTATAGGATAGGGTGACAAACGAGCACACAGTCCACTTGATGGTAAGTGGTTGCTATGACCAATAGATGTCAACATCTATCCTCAATAAAAAATCAAAATGCCATCTGCATTTTGATTTTTACGTAGTCACCCGTGAGGACAAAGATGGAATGCCTCTTTTCCAGTAATAAGGGTCTCTGGTTCTCTAAACTCACCATACGAAATACAGCAGTGTTAAGCTGATATTTTACGCTGGTGTTCTGATTATGAAAAACTTTAATTCGCAGTACAAAATAATATCGTTCAATTTGCTCTAATGTGTGCGCTTCTCCAGTGTGCTTTAATGTAATTGGTTGTTCGTTAAGTAATTTAGTATTTTTCCAAGAGAGGACTAATTTTATTTTTTTCACAGCGAACTTCAAACTTAATCCCCATAATCTTTATATATATAAGTATCGTTATGTTGTCCGCGATGAACTCCTAAAATACTGAACTGATTTCAATGAAGTTTTGCACACTGCATGAGCTTTGGTCTTTCTTGAGAAATAGGATAGATTTTATGCCGATAAGTGACTCTCGATATTTTTTATTACAAATTTAAGAATTGTTATAGGACAAATGGTCCTCGAAAGAGCAGAACAACGTTTGCCTGGCCAGCTAGTCCTTATATATTTTGACAAGTGATATAGCAAAACTTTGATTGATTCTACGAATTAATTTTTGGTTGGTACACTTCCAAATTTGGAATATGAAAATCAGCATTTTAGGCATGTTTTACTTTTTTACTATGCAAACAGTAAACGTGCTGTTCAAGCAAAAAATCTGATGTGTTTTGAGAAGAAGTATGGAATAAACGCCAGTGCCAAATATATTTTACAAAATTTTGATTCGGCAATTTTGATGCTGAAGTTGTACCACGTTCTGGAAGGCCAGTTGAAGCTGATGAAGGAAATAAAAGAAGTATAGGTATTAATTGATTCAAACCGACGAATAACACCTCGTGAGATTTCTGAGGGATTCAATTTTATCGAAGTCGACCGTTCATGATTATTTGGAATTCTTAGGTCTAATCTCAAAGCTCTAATCTCATAATATTATGTCGTATGGGTTCTTCATGTTCTTACAGACAAAAAATTGTGCCGTCACATTTACGTCGATGTCGACATGATTAGCTTCTCAAACATCAAGAAAATGATCTATCATCAGCACATCATCACTGAGGATGAGAAATGGGTTGTCTACAACAATGTTAAACGCAAGATATCATGAAGTAAAAAGATGACCCAAATCAAAGCAACTACTTTTTTTTTCGAGCTTCCACCTAACAACACAACGATGAACTATGAAGTGCACTGTCATCACCTGGACAAATTGAATGATTCACTAAAACAGAAAAGGTCAGAATTTATAAATAGCAAAGGCTTAGAAGATAATGCGATACCTCATACAAGTTTGTTGACTCATCAAACGCTTTAACAACTTTGATGGGACATACTGCTGCTCCCACCATATTCTCCAGATCTGGCACCTTGTGATTATTATTTATTGCGTTCTAATCAAAACTTTGAAGATGGTAAACCTTTACTTCAAATGAGAAGATCAAAAATTACCTGGATCAGTTTTTTACCAGCATAGAACAAACACTTTATGAGCGTGGAATCATGCTACTTCCAGAAAGATGGCATAAGGTATTGGACCAAAATGAACAATTAAAAAAAATAATTACAAGAAAATCGTCTTTCATTTTCATTTTACTGAAATTACTTTCCGAGCAACCCAATATCATTAACAAAAAACTGTCATTAAAAATCTAGAAAGAATCTGAAGTAATGAAATCATAAAAAAAAATCGAAAGTATTCATATAGTTAAAAAACTTTTATAGGGTAAGGTTGACCAACGATCACACAGTCTACCTGATGGTAAGTGGTTGTTGTGGCCCATAGACATCTACATCTATCCTCAATTACGAATCAAAATGCAAATACGTTGTCACCCGTAAGGACCAAGATGGAATGCCTCGTTTCCAGTAAAAAGAGTATCTAGTTCTCTACACTCGCCATACGAAACACAGCAGCATTAAGCTACTATTTTACGCTGTTATCCTGTGAGATCGTGGTCCTTCCCGGTCGAGCCTACCTATTGGTGCTTCAACTATATCAGTAATATAGCTGTAGCATGGCTCTACCACGTACAAAATTATAACGAATACTAAGTTATGTACATAAAACTTTAGAAAAAATACAGACATATTCAGAGTTTTTATTTTATACAAAACCGTGCTATGACTGGGTCTCTTAGCAAGTGATATTTTTGATGTAAAATTAATTTGCATCGCACTGAACAAAAATAATCCGAAGATTTTACTCGCCTAGATAATTTCTCCGAAAACGATTTTTTTTAGGAGAAGGGGCAAATGAGCATAGGGCTCACCAGATGGTAAGTGATTACCGCCGCCCATGAACTAGTGCAACACCAGGGGAATTGCAGATACGTTGCCGGCCTTTTAAAAAGGAGTACGCTCTTTTTTTTGAAGGTCCCTATGTCGTATCGGACCGGAAAAATCTCTGGTGGTAGTCGATTCTACAAGGAAATTGTGCGAGGAAGAAAACTTCTTTTAAATCGTACAGTGGTGGACAGACAGACATCAAGATGGTATGGAAGGTATCGCGAGTTACGTCGCGATGTGCGATGGTGAAATTGTGCGGCTGGAATTAGTCCGAACAATTCGTCACATCACTCCCCGTGGTAAATGCGATAAAATACGCAAAGAGATGCAACATCTCTTCACAGTGCCAGTGAGTCAAGCTGATCGGAAAGAGTTCGGTCGCCGACGATCCGAACAGCTCTGCGCTGGATGCGATCAAATGGAAGGAGTTGGCACTGGGGAGCCCCAGCCCAGAGATGGGAACAGTATTCCATGTGTGATCGAACCTGCGCCTTATGAAGTTGCAGACGGTGTGCCGGCATGAAATATTGTCCCACTCTGCTGACTACGCCAAGCTTTTTAGAGGCCAATTTGGCCTTCTATTCCAAGTGACCACAAAACTGCACATCACTCGATATGTTGAGGCCGAGGATTCCGATACTGGCTAAGGCAACAAGGGGAGTGTTGAAGCGCCTGCGCCTTCTTTCTGAGCAAAGGGTTAAACAACGTATTTGTAGTAATTACGTCCATACTTAACGTTAATTTTAAACAGGTTTTTTGTCTTTGCAATGTTTTATTACCCTCTCAGCTGTTGTAAGATCAATACAATCGTCCAAAACCACATTCAAGTTGCATTATTTTTAAATTCCCGTAAACTCCCGAACATGGTCCTGGATCGTCGCCGGATATAAAATAATAAGAACCAGAATTTATATTACACTTGTATATGGTTAATTTGGTGGAGTTTACATTGGAATCAAATTTGGAGTAACGTCGCCGCCATCAAGAATGTGGGTTAATTTGCAGTAATTACGTGGTGTTTAAGATACAATTTAAGATTTATCATCACCCAACACTCTATTAAGGTAATCTAATAGTATTTGGTGTAAATCACCGGACTAAGGTTAGTGAATTTATTGTTCCTATCGATTATTAATTACCTACTGCGTTGTGTTAACATTCGCAAATTTTTTGATAATTTGCAGTAATTAAGTAAGAAATTGTATTGTAAGGATACTGTTAGAAATTAATCTACATAATTTTTTTGCTTATTTACATTATTTAATATAGTTGTGCAGTAGAAATCGTATAGTAGCATTAATTATTATTACCTACACCAAGTAAATGTTTTTAGGCTTTAATTATTATTTATTTTCTTGTTTAGAGTGTTTTATTGTAATAAAATTATACTATAGTAATAGCGTAATTGTAGCATAGGACGATTGTTAGTTTTTTCTGTGATTTCGTGGGTATATAATAATTGAATTAGGTATTGTAAGTAGCTTAAATAATAAAATTATCTACTATTGTTTGAATGTCGAGAAATATTGTGTAAAGTTACTTGTCACTATAATATTATTAAATTATTATTTGCCGAGTTAGTACCTACATACTGTATAATATAGTTAGGTAGTTTTTCAGGGCATAGTATTTAGTTAGTGCATTAGATAGTCGGAGATTGTTATTGAATATTTGTAATTGTATACATTCCAGGTCAAATACTCTCGTCTTCCAGAATGACCGAAGAAAAGGAGTTGATCAAAAAACGAGGTAGTTTTAAAGGCCGTTTAACTGCTTTCATTAGTTACGTGGATTCGCTTACCACACCTTTACAAAATCATGACGCGACGGAATTGGAATTGCGTATGGGTAAGCTGGACACATTGTATAATCAATATGATGAGGTGCAGTTACGCTTAGAATGTATTGTCGACAAGCCCGACTTACAACTAACTGAGCGTTCATGCTTTGAAACTCAGTATTACAAGGCGCTAGCTAAAGCTCAAATTTTACTGAGCGATCACCATAATGCTAACTCTGAATCGGCAGGTAGTGACAAGAGTTCTCGAGTCAGTAATCATAAGTTTGTTAAGTTACCTACTATACAGTTGCCAAAATTTAGTGGATCATACGAGAACTGGTTGGAGTTCCATGATACCTTCAGTAGCCTTATTCACTCTAATGATGAAATCGATGAAATTAATAAATTTCATTATTTACGCGCGTCTCTCGAAGGGTCTGCTGCTGTGGTAATTCAATCATTCGAGTTTTCTGCAAGTAACTATACAGTGGCATGGAATGTCTTATGTGAGAGGTTTAGCAACAAACGATTGTTAGTTCAAAATCATGTGTCAGCCTTATTTAACCTTGAAACGATTACAAGGGAGTCGTCTGTAACTTTAAAGCGCTTAATCGATTTATTAAGTAAAAACCTAAGAGCATTAGAATCGTTAGGTGAACCAGTTCAGTATTGGGACACACTTCTAATTTATATAGTTACACATAAATTGGATCAGAAAACCTACCGTGAGTGGGAGGAGTTTAAAGGTCATTTAAAAAAGGATGAATCAGTTACATTTAATATATTCCTCCAGTTTATGCGTAGCAGAGCTGATCTACTCGAAACTTTAGAGACGTCGCGTAATTTTCACTTTGCACCGAACAGGCCGAGTCCTAAATTAAAATCTATGGTTTCGGTGCAACAATCGAATATTCATAATATAAACTCAAACAAACAATTCAAAGGTTGTTATAACTGTAACGGCGATCACAATTTAGGTAGCTGTCCGCAGTTTCTTGCACTCAGTAATGAGGCTAGATTGAAATTATTATCATCTTACAAGATCTGTTATAATTGTTTTAAGTCAGGACATTTTGCAAACCATTGCAAAAAGCCAGGGTGTAAGATATGAAAGCGCCGCCACAACACAATGATTCACGTTACTGAACCGATAGCAAGTCATACCGTACAAAATAAAAATAATTTCTCGCTCGAGAATGAGACGGGCACTCGGACAGGGACTAACTCATCAATGACATCAACTGCAGGCACTGATGTGAACAACGTCACTTTGTCGGCAAACGTAGCGCATCGTAGTGAACAACGAGATGTATTATTATCAACTGCTTTGATAAAATTACTTGATTATAATAACGTCGAACACGTCGCCCGCGCAGTATTAGACTGCGGTAGTACATCTAGTTTTATAACTGAGAATATGCGCAAACGATTAAATTTAGATTTTGTCGAAATAGATAAGTCGATTTTGGGCATTAATAGCGTGTATTCTCACGTAAGCAAAAGGTGTCGTGTACATTTAAAGTCGTTAGATAATAGTTATTCCGCTAACATTAATTGTTTCATTTTGCCATCAATTACTAGCAATACCCCAGGTCGCGAATTAAGCATACGTAATCTTCAAATTCCATCGAATATTTGCTTAGCTGACCCTGCATTTTATAAGCCTGCCGATGTAGATATTTTAATCGGGGCCGATCTCTTTTGGGATTTGTTATGGTCACAAAGAATTAAGTTAGGAAGTAATACGCCCATTCTGCATGAAACCAGGCTAGGGTGGATAGTTTCTGGTCCAATTAATGTTCATCATTCTACATTGATGTCTAATGACTTACGATGCAACTTCGCTAAGACTGATTTTTATTTAAATGGCGATAATAAAGACGACATTCGAATCGACTTAACGCGGTTTTGGCAGCTGGAGGAAATAAGTTCCAAGTCATCTCATTATTCACCTGAGGAGAAGTTGTGTGAAGATCATTTTGTAAGCAATACGTCTCGTCTTGATGATGGGCGTTTTTGCGTTCGGTTACCTCTCAAAAAAGATACCGGTCTATTAGGAGATTCATTTAAAAGAGCTACACATTGCTTGTTCTCCTTAGAGCGTAGATTAAAGGGTAAGCCTGACATCAAGCAGATGTATTATGAATTTATGTCTGAATATCAGTCACTGGGACATATGACAATTTGTGAAAGACCTAATTTAAGTAGTGGCGCGTATTTTATACCCCATCATGGCGTACTCCGTGAAAGTAGCACTACGACTAAACTTAGAGTAGTTTTTAATGCAAGTTGCCCGACGTCGTCAGGTATTTCGTTTAACGAAATACAAATGGTCGGTCCTGTAGTTCAGAACGACTTGACGTCGATTTTGTTACGTTTTAGGCAACATAAATACATTTTGTCTGCAGATGTGGAGAAAATGTACAGGTGCATAATCGTTCATCCTGATGACAGGCACCTTCAGCAGATAGTCTGGCGTAACAGTCCTAGTGAGCCTATACAGACCTTTCAATTAAATACTGTTACGTACGGTACGGCGAGTGCACCATTTCTCGCAACACGCTGCCTGAAACAACTTGGTCTACAGTGCAAAAACAAAGCCATAGCGGACATCATAATGCATGATTTTTATGTCGATGATCTGCTTACGGGTGCTGATGACTTAGATGACGTAAAGGCCATACGTCAAGGGGTTGCCGAAGTATTGGCATCTGCTCGTATGCCATTGCGAAAGTGGAGATCGAACGATCCCGAGTTGCTGTCAGAAATTGCCAATACATCACTTGACCTAAATATTGGTTCTCGCGAGCCAGACAAGTTGTTAGGTCTTGGCTGGCATTCGGATTCAGATGAACTCTGCTTTCCATTGAATTCACTAGTTCCCGATGGCAATACTAAGCGTGATTTGCTTTCAGTGATTGCACAAATCTTTGACCCGCTGGGTCTTTTAGCTCCGTATGTAATCACGATGAAAATATTGATACAAAGGCTTTGGTTAGACAAACTTTCATGGGATGAACCACTGTCTCCCGAAATCAAGAAACGCTGGTATGGCATTATCAAATCTCTTCCTTTTTTAAATAACATTCGTATTCCACGACTAGTTATCTGTGAGTCATACCGAGTGCTGCAACTGCATATTTTCACTGACGCTTCTGAGTGCGCATACGGTGCGTGCATTTATGTTCGAAGCGTCAGCGATAAGGGAGAAGTTATGGTCCGACTATTAACGGCTAAGAGCCGTGTAGCACCAATCAAACCCACAACAATACCACGATTAGAACTGTGCGGCGCGTTGGTAGGAGCTCGTCTTTATGAGAAGGTTGTAAATTCCCTTCGTGTTAAAGTTGACCAAGTCTACTTTTGGACAGACTCCACGATTGTTTTGGGGTGGTTGCGAATGTTGCCTTGCAAACTTCAGCCTTTCGTGCGTAATCGTGTCGCTGAAATTTTGGATAAGGCCAGTGACCATAAGTGGGGACACGTCCCAACAGATAGGAACCCAGCAGATTTAATATCTCGTGGTATAGATATCAGTGCTCTGGCACGTCTTAGATTGTGGTGGTCAGGTCCAGAATTTTTAATGTATGACATATCAAAATGGCCTTCTCAGCCTAAGAATGTTGAAACATTGCCGGAAACGCGTCATGATATTATATTAACTGCAGTCACTACTCATCCAAAAAATAATGATTGTTTCATTGATTTTAGTCGTTTCTCGAATTATTCACGTCTTGTACGTTCCATGGCTTACGTTTTACGATTCATCATGTCTTGTAAAAGACAGCTTATTTCTTCGAATTACTTAACGGAATTAGAATTACGAAACGCTTTAAATATTATAATTTCAAAATGCCAATATGATTTCTTTCCAGAGTATAAATTGCTTCTGAATAAGCAAAACTTACCTAAGAAAAGCCCACTTCTTAAATTTAATGTATTTTTAGACGAAAATTAAATTATGCGTGTTGGTGGTCGTTTTGATAATTCTAAATTTTCATATAATAAAAAGCATCCTATATTATTACAGTCCAATCATATATTTACAAAATTATTATTTGACCATGAACACAAAAGGCTGATGCACGCAGGCTCACAGCTACTGTTGGCAAACATTAGAGATACTTATTGGCCGATAGGTGGTCGAAACTTAGCGAAGGCCTGTTATCATAAATGCATACGATGTCATCGCATGAAGGGTAAGGTTTCGAATCCACTAATGGGCAACTTGCCACAGCAGCGTCTCCTTTCGGGTGGCTTTCCTTTTGAGACGGTAGGAGTCGATTATGCGGGCCCTGTTATGAGCGCCACTCGTCAAGGTCGTGGGTGTCGACTGGTAAAGGTTTATATTTGTATTTTCGTCTGTTTCACTACCAAGGCAATTCATTTAGAGTTGGTAGGTGACTTAACCAGCAATAACTATTTGTTGGCATTGCGCAGGTTTATAGCTCGAAGAGGTAAGCCAGTTAATATTTATTCCGATAACGGTGCTTCTTTTGTTGGTGTATACAATGACTTATCCAAATTTTTAAAGGGCAATTGCGATTCTTTGAGCGAAAGCATGGCCAATGATAATATTAACTTTCATTTTATTCCGGCATATACTCCTCACTTCGGTGGCCTCTGGGAGGCGGGAGTCAAATCGACTAAATATCATTTGCTTAGAGTGTTGGGCAATTGTCACTTAACGTATGAAGAACTTTACACCACGTTGACCCAGATCGAAGCAATCCTGAACTCCCGGCCACTCACTCCACTATCTTCAGATCCTGCAGATTGTACGCCCCTCACTCCGGGACATTTTTTAATTGGGCGTACGCTGACTTCTTTGCCGCAACTGGACTACCAGCATCAATCCACTCCGTTATTAAACAGATTCCAACGCATTGAGCAACTGCGTCAGCATTTTTGGGAACGATGGAGCAAGGAGTACGTCTCAGAACTTCAACAAAGATTGAAATGGCGTTCTTGCAAAGATAGCTTAAAGATAAACGATTTGGTGGTATTCAAGGAGGACAACCTTCCACCGCTGAAATGGAAGCTGGGAAGAGTCGTTGCAATTCACCCAGGAACCGATGGCATTGTTCGAGTTGCAGACATCAGAACTTCTACTGGGATTATCAAGAGGGCATTTAACCGGATTTGCCCATTGCCGGTGTCATTTAATTCTGGTTGAAATCAAAGATTTCAACGCCCGGGGGCATGTTGAAGCGCCTGCGCCTTCTTTCTGAGCAAAGGGTTAAACAACGTATTTGTAGTAATTACGTCCATACTTAACGTTAATTTTAAACACGGTTTTTTTGTCTTTGCAATATTTTATTACCCTCTCAGCTGTTGTAAGATCAATACAATCGTCCAAAACCACATTCAAGTTGCATTATTTTTAAATTCCCGTAAACTCCCGAACAGGGAGTGCCTTGAAACTGAGGAGATACGACAAAGGGGTTTTTTGAGCGGTAAACGCGCAAACTTGTGTCTTCTGGGGATTGAACTGGACTATATTTAGTCGCCCCAGTCCGAGACTTTGTTCATCTAAATCTCGACTTCATCTCGACACAAGTTTGTCCCGGTACTCGGTGACGTTTTCCCGAGAAATATTCGCTCGGCCGGTGTATAAAGTATCACCATCCGCATAACAATGAATCTTACCGGTTTGCAACATATCATTGATATGCAGAAGAAACAGCGTTGATGATAGCACGCAGCCTTGTGGAACACCAGCGTAAATGGGCTTGTAATCGGAGCATACACCGTCTACTACGACCTTGATGCTCGGATTTGCAAGAAAACTGGTGCCAAACCAAACCCTATCGAAGGGTTTCGCTATGCCCAAACTAACGCCCAACGCCTCCCCATTGGACTCTACTGCCTTCGGCCATTTATGAATTAGGTAACGGAGAAGATCACCAGCCGAGCGACCACGACGGAAACCGTACTGACGGCCACTAATCAGCTGGTGATCCTGAAGGTACCGCATGAGCTGGCTGTTAATAATGGACTCATTTATTTCAGAGAACAAGTAGATGATGGTGATAGGCCTATAGTTGGACGAATCAGGGCGGTTACCTTTTTTAGGGATCGAGTGCACGAAAGCTGTCTTCCATGATTTCGAGACTACGCCTAGGGAGTGGGAGTACCGGAAAAGATGCGTTAAAACCGGTGCCAACTCTGGAGCACACGTCCTCAGCAAAATGGAGTGACGCCATCAGGCCCACTCGACTTGTTGATGTTACGCTTCATAATTATTATTCGTAAATGATAATTAAATTAATTATAAAGACATTTAAAAATGTCATAGGAATTAAATTTTAAATAATTAAAGTGCATTAAATAAGCACAAAGTTTAAATATATTCATTTCGAATATTGAATAGGTATTATAGTATAGTAAATGCATAAAATTGTCTTTACTCTAAATTTAACAAAGACTGTTTAAATGTTCTGTTTAATTGTTCTGAACTGTAAAATATTCAAAATGTATTAAATAATATAAGTACAAGTCTATTGCAATAATAAAGATAAATAACATTAATTTGTAATATAATTGAAAAAAAATGGATATATAATTGAAAAGTTGATGAAGGTGTTCTTGCATTACTCAAAAATTTCATTCAGTCATCACCTAAGTATTTCATGGTTACCCGTGCGCGTGTACTCATCAAATAGTTTTTCGCTTTCTTCCGACCAGCAAGGGATTTACGCCTTGCGTTACCCTCGGGGAATGAGGCACAGGGAGGTATCCATCTGATAGCAGCATCCATGACAGCGCTGAATTTGGGCCAGTCTGCTTTGTGGAAGTTCCATCGAGGCAAAGGCATGGAGTTTGTTAAAGGGATCTTCCACAAGCACAGGTCGGTGCTGGCTGTTCGGGAAGTCTGAGAGAATTCTTCGTGTGGTTTGTAATGGGGTTCGATAGATGTCATATGTAGTAAACGTTAGGTCTGGATTATAATCCCGTTTCCATCTTGCTGACCTGAACGATCCTCTATCCTTGGCATTAAATACTAGATGTAGGTTGTTGTTCTGCGCCCATTGCACGAGGTGTTCACCATTTGCATCATTTTTGTTATATCGCCAGGTCGTGTGATTACTATTGAAGTCGCCGGCATAGAGGCATGGATGTGGGAAAGCGGGGAGGTTGGTAGTCCATGAAGAGTTCGGTGGTTTGTATACGTTTACAATGATAAGGTTATTGATCATTATTGCAGAGGCAATTACATCCGGACCCCCAAGGCAAGTCTACGCAGCAACATGTTTAATACCGTCTTTAACATAAGTGGCGATGCCATATTGCGCGTGGTAATTGCATGAGCAAGGTAGTATCCCGGGATATTACCACGTTTATGTAGATTTTGTTCATCTCTAGCGTGAGTTTCTTGTAAAAGGAGTACGTCTATGTCATTTTCTAATAGAATCTTACTTACTACTTCGCATTTAGCTTCACTAATATTTTCTATATTATGTTGGCGGATTCGGGTAATAGGTCCAATATCTCTAGTCCGGTGGCTCTCCGAGGAGAGCTGATCGCATTCAAGTGGGTTATTAAATGATATAATATAGCGATAGTGCTGTGAGGTTGCAGGATTATAGCGCAACAGTACAGCAGCCAGTAGTTTGTTGTTCGTTTAGCGCCACCCAGGGGACACGTGCAGGGTACAGGCGGCAATTCCTGCGGACGTGAACAGCTTCATCCCCCATTTTTTACAACGTTGTTAACGAGAGACTTGTGGACGATAAATCCGACAGCACTTTGGGACAGATAGAACAAGTTGCCGGATTCGGCCAGAATATGGCCACGTGGAAATTCCTAATTACAATAAACTAGATGGGAGGACGCTAGAAAGACATAGTACTTACCATTATCCGAAGCTAACTTCGCACCAAGGCTTGGGCAGGCCGTGAATGTGTGTAATAGTGGATGGCGAGTAGTGTACAGTGAGGTGTGAATGTGTGGGGGCTTGTCAAGCATAGGCGACCAGCCGCGGCCGAGTTCCAGGCTGCTCCAAAATGCTGCACCGCTTCAGACTGCTTCGGCGCCGGACCACAGTCACTTTCCTCGTTCGTCACGATGACAGTCAATTAAATTTATCGTACGATTTACTAACTTACAGAAGCCACTAACTATCGCTGGTTAATGCACAAAACGCATACGGAGTTTACGGATCAAAGGTCACTACCGTTTCGCGTCGCAACAGTTAGTTCTAGGATGTCACGCCGCACTAGCTAATATTGCCGAATGCACTTATGCAGATTCTGAGTCAGACACAATGAGTCCCTGGGAAGCTCTCCAGCAGGAATGCGCGTCACAATGGTAGACCGTATATTTACTGGCCGCGCCTAATTATTCCGAGTTCCCGGCAAAAATGACAGCGTGCTGTTCCAAGCACAGCTGACAGACGACTCCGCCTTTTCGCTCGCGACCCGCGCGCTCTTGCCACGCTCGGCCGAACTTCAAACCGGTATCGCCCAGAGACGCGCGCCCCCTAGACGTCGATTCCGACAACCAGTATTTGGCGCGAACACTTGTTCTCACACTGGGTAAGAGGCTCTTCAAATACCTAGAAATAAACAACATTCTTTCTCCCTTACAATATGCCTTTAGGCCTGACAAACTTACGTACGATGCAATTTATGACTTCACAAATTATATTGTTACAAACATATACAAGTGTCGAAAAGTGTTTATCATATTTCTAGATCTCGCTAAGACTTTCGATACGGAATTTTTTTCGAATTTTACGTAGGATGAAGAATATGGAAATTGGAGGTATCTAACTAAGACCTTTTAAGAATACTTGAGTAGACGTACGTTAAGGTGGATGAATTTGTCACTGCTAAATGCACAGTTACCTAGCGCTGATACATGGCAAGAAGTCTATGCATACGCTCAGTTGAGCTACAACACTGTTTGAAACTGACACTGAACGTAGACGAAACATCTTATGTCATGTTTAGATTA